GATTTCTCGCTTTCTGTCTCTCTGTCTTTCTGGTGAGTGCATGCGCCCTATAGCAAAAACCTCTCCAAAACATAAAAAAAGAAATTAAAAAAAAAAAAGAAAGCCCCCCCTCAGCAGGGATGGACACGCTGCAATCCCTTCTCCTCCATTCTCCTCTCAGGATCTTGGGCATGCATGCACACATGCCCGGCATGAGTTTAAGCCACCGGGTCCAGGACTCAAACCACAGTAGAATTCATGGGAGTCCAGCGACATAGCCATTACGCTAACTGCTGGTCCCAGCATTGGATTTTAACTGGGAAAAAAGTTGGAGGAGTAGACAGAAATCCACTAGACATATTACAGAGGGGAAAATTCTAGACAACAAAATCCATCATAATAACATTTGTTATTTATCCAACAACAAAAAGAAACAAGATGTTCCAAATAAATTATTTTTCTAGATAATTTACCTTTAATTGACAAAACCTTTTGCTTAGATTTTCCAAAAGACCTTTAAATTCACTCATACTTTTCCCTCCATTTAATCCTTCCATGGAACTCATTACCAACTCCTTCACAATGTTTAGGGTATAAAAATTACTTTGTTACACTTAACAGCAATGTTGTGATTTCAGAGATTTTAAGTAAAATACTTTTAAGTCTGATTGCAATAAGATTGAGGGGCTGGCAGGTGGAGTGGTTAAAGTACTGAACTCTCCCAAGGCCGAACGTGGTTTGGGTCCCAGATTTGGTGGCTTGAGAAATCATGCGAAGTGTGTGTGCGTGCATGTCCCAAGTTCTTATGGGAGAATGGGGACGAGGATGCTGCGTGACCAATCCCCGGGGGAGGGAGGGGATTTCTCACTGTCCCTCTCTGGCGAGTGTACTCACCCTATGGCCCAAAAATAAAATGCCTACACAGATGCATTACGGGGCTGGCCCCCTTCATCTTTAATTTTGTTTGTTTGTTTGTTTAGGATTTTGCCATATAGCATATGAGCTCACAGGAGAAAAATTGAGTGAGACAGAGGGGAAGGGACAAATCACCCCGAGGAGATGGCTACTGCCACAATCCCTTCTCCTTCGTTCTCTTGTCAGAACTTTGGACACGTACACACACATGCTCAGCATTTTTAAGCTGCCAGGTCCAGGACCTAACCATGGTTGGTCATATGTGAGTCCAGTGTCTTTTTCTTTTTTAAAAAAAAGAAAGATTTTTGCTTTAGAGTGCGTGCAATCGCCAGAGAGACAGACAGATAGAAAGTGAGAAATCACCCCCCTTCCCAGATGGCCACACCCCAATTCCTTCTCCTTCATTTTCCTCTTGTGATTTTGGTCATGCACGCATATACGCCTGGTGAGTTTTAAGCTGCCAGGTCCAGGACTCAAACTGCGGTCGACTATGGGGGAGTCCAGTGACATAACTGTTCCGCCATCTGCTGGTCCCAGGGAGTCCAGCGTCTTAATCATCAAGCCACCTGCTGGCCCCTCCTTTCTTTCTTTCTACTACCATTGCCACGCTATTACCTGGGCAATAAATGAAGCAATAAGAAAATATAGTCTCCGTGTAAGGGGGTGGTGGTTATAGGGTAATAATAAAGTGAAGCTGAGGCAGGAAGAGGAAGATATAACCCCACCAGCACGTGACTCCAATTCCACGCACCACCCCATCACTACTTGCACATGGAGCTCACAGGGGTACCAAACCCTCCCTTCTCCTTGTGAAGAGCAGAAAACTGAGCCCCTGTGAGGGGCTGGGGTCCAGCCTGCCCACATCTCACGGCCGGTTTGGAGAGCACACATCCACCTTTGACCCTGCAGCGACGGGAGGTTAGTGAGCTGTAGACTCCTTCGCCTTGGTTTCTCCGAGAGGAACTAAACACGAGTGGCCTACTCACTGAGGATCATACACTCTTAACCCTGAAGATTTTCAAGAGGAGAGCACTACCCTGGCTCAGGTGAACATTCGCTTTTCCGATGGACAGCGACTGCGTGACGTGCCTCATGTCTATCTCAGGCCGCAGACGCTGAGACTGGCATGCCAGTGGCCGCCCTCTCAGGGACCCTGTGCTTGTTTCAAATGTGCGTACTCAACATTTCCAGGAATAAAGATGTGATCAACCATCCATATGGGACTGGCAGAAAACAGTAAGTTAAGAGTTTTCACAGGGACCAGCAGATGGAGTAATGGTTACGTCGCTGGACTGTCATGTAGTCAACCACAGTTTGAGTCCTGGACCCGGTGGCTTACAATTCATGCTGGCATTGTGAGCGTATGTACCCAAGATCCCAAGAGGAGACTGGAGGAGAAGGGACTGTGGTGTGGCCATCCCCTTGGGCAGTGATTTCTCGCTTTCTGTTTCTGTGTCTCTCTCTGTGTCTCCAGCAAGAGCACACGTCTTATAGCAAAAATTTCTCTCTAAAAAAGTTTCACCTCATACTGTTCTTCAACGTGGAGGTCAGCAAACTCCAGCCCAGGGGGAAATTTGGCCCATAGACCATTGTGGCAAATGGTTTCCCTGAAATACTGACACACCCATGCATGCCCCGTCAGCTCTCGTGTTGCTGCAGCAGAGTCCAAAATATTTACTACATGGCTCACAACAGAAAGTGTTCGCTGGTCCTCGCTTTAAGGGTTTCAGAAAACCATTAAGACAGTAACATTCACCTACATTTGATTAGCTTCACCACCTCCAGATGGTTTGAGTGAGTCACCAGAGTTCCATTCACCTATGAGAAAATGAGGACAGGGCGTCAGATACAACCCACTGAGACGGGGGTAAATGGACTTCAGCAATTACCATACACTGCATAACTAATTATAATATAATATAGTAAGTGGAGCTGGCCACCTTAAAATATGCACGTATTTGGTTCAATAGTCACTCTTATCACTATTCCATGAGATATACTTAGTAACAAAATGAATCTGAACACAAAACAAGGCCTTGATTTATAAGACAGTTAAAGACATTACAACTTATTAACCATGACAGATGACGAAACACACCATGAAACAGATTTACAAATCCTACACACTGAAGGACTCTCGCAGACAGAGAAGATCTCTCAGTCTTTAATCTACTCATTCATCAGAAGTATAATCAGAGATGAAAATATAATCATTTCCCCAGGAATACTCGATTTACTTTAGTTTTCCAACCATGATTTCATCTTTATAAAGAACAATACTTCTCCAATAGGCTAAATTTAGAAAATGTTATAAAAAGTCTCCACTAAACCAAGAAAAAAATACCAAATGTGGTTACAATTTTAGTTTTTCCTCTGATGCAAGTAGCACTAATTTAAAGTTCACACACACCAGGTGAAGAATTAATACAATATCATGTCCCCCAAGATAAGCACTGTTAACTATGACAGCTAATTTTTAGTAAGTTTATTTTACTTAAATAAACTTAAAGGGGGAGGTGGGGAGTGGGTTCCCTTGCCTGGGTCTCACCATATCAGAATCCTCTCCCCAGTCTGCCAGTTAGGGTCACGACCGTGCCCACGTGTGCAGGCACATTTGGGCCACCCAGGATCCAAACCTGGCTGCCCGTGTGGCTCCAGTACCGTGAAGCAGTGCCCCACTCCTCGCACTCCCACGGCCAGACCTTTGTTTAATCTTTGGGACACTTTTTCTAGTATATACATGCCAGATTTTTTTCTACAAAAAAAAGTACTTTTTTTCTCCATAGTACTGTGGATATCTTTCACTACAGGCATGCACAGACCTAACCTATTCTTTTTGAAAAGCTGCAGATGAGATGTAGTTTATTTTTTATTTCTCTAGCCCTCAGTTCATGCACACTTACATTCCTTGAAAGTTTTCAATGTGAGAACACCAAAATGAATTTCCCTATACACATATCCCTTCATACTGTATACTTATTCCTTAGATAAGTTCAGTTCCTAAAAGCAGATTCACTGGTAAAAGGATACATACTTTCTTTTGATACATATTCCCAAATTTCTATCCAAACAGATTTCACCTAATGTATAGTCACAATCAATGTATGAGAGCAACCATTTACCATATCCGCCCCACGCCAAATGTGTAATACCAACCTTCATACTGTCTGTCAACCAAATGTATTTTTCACTTATCATTTTAATGTCTACATTTTTGTCATCAGTGAGGCTGGGCATATCCTCATTAAAATATTGATTGTTTCAATTACTTTAAGGAATTAAGTGATACAATTCTTTGCCCATGTTTCTATTAGAGCATTTATCATTTTCTTGGTAATTTATGAGTGCTCTTTACAATTAAGGATATCACGTTTGGTAATACATCTCAAATTGTTTTTCCACATTATAACTTGTAAATATGTTAATGGTGTCTCTTCTTATATAATAATTTAATTTTTAAGTGATCACATTAGCCAATTGCTTCAAGAATAATTAATGATCGGAACTGAAGACTTGTTTTTGGACTCTTACCTTGTTCCACTGGCAGATGGGTACCTAGACTAGTGTCTCATCCTTCAAATGGACCTAAGCCATCACCACCACCACACACACACACACACACACACACACACTACACTGTTCTTTAGCTGTTCTCATACAATCATAGAAAGAATAGTCAATTTGACAAATAACAATATACCACCTCAATTCTTTTTTTTAAGTATTATTTATTTATTATCATTATTTTTCAATTTTGACCAGAGAGAGGCAGACAGAGAGAGCAAGCTGGGACTCAAACCATGATTGGCCATGTGGGAGTCTAGCACCTTCAACCACCAAACCACCTGCCGGCCCCCACCACCCCAACTCTAAACATATAGTTTGATGAGAATATCTTGTTAATGAATTAATCCAGAGAGAAATAGCCTTTCTACAGGGAGGTACTCTCCTACCCATACGTGACCCCTTTATTCAAGTCTTTCATTACGCTCTTCAGTAAAGGGTAATTAATCTTAAAACAAATAAAGTAAGTTTTTGTATCAAGTCAGCAAATCCATCATATGAAACATGCTGCATTTATGAAAAACCGAGTGAAAAGAGAGCATGTTTCCTAATCCCGCCGCAAGTCCCATAATGGCCCTTTCCTCCCTTTCCTCACCTTGATGATCCGATCACCTGTCTGTACTCCGGCCCGCATGGCTGCTCCATCTGCGTGAGAAATCAGTTACTTAAGATGTGATTCATTTGCAGTCACTGATGAGCTTTTTGAAAAATAGGCAGATGACAAAGTGTCTACAAAGGTGGGTAATAAAGTCACACGAATTGAAGTTCAGATGCTACCTCACTAGCTGTGACCTGGGGCTGATTTCAGTTCATTTTATTTTTACTCTAAGCCCCAGTATCACCTATAAAACAGGATTTTAAAAAAAAGTCTACATGCGGCTGGCAGATGGCATGGTGGTTAAAGTGCTGGGCTCCCACATCGCCAACTGCAGTTTGATTCCCGGACCTGGCAGCTTGTTTTCTCACTTTCCCTCTCTCTCACTCTAGTCAAATTAAGATTACTAACTAAATAAATAAAGTTAAATAAAATAATTCTTAAAAAAAAAAGTCTACCTCAAATTATAGCACCTGACATAAGCGAAGTATTCAATATATGGGAATGGACGATACTATTGTCGTTTGGGAAAAATAATTGATTTTTTTTAAGTTTTTGTTATAGGGCGCATGTGCTCACCAGTGAGAGAAAGTGAGAAATCGCCTCCCAGGGGGATGGTCAAGCCACAGCACAGTCCCTTCTTCTCCAATCTCCTCTCTGGAAAATCATCCCTAGTGTGATTTGCAAACCGCTGGGCTCAGGACTGACACTGTGCAGCCAGTCATGTGGGATCCAGTACCTTAACCTCTATGCCACCTGCTGGCCCAAGAACTGGTATTTTTAAGCCTACAACCATCTCTTTAAAATGTGTCTTCCAAAATATCACTGGAGCCATGAAGAAATAAAATCCCAGAAACTACTGTGAGTGATGGCACATAAAATATGATGATTAAGGCATCATATGATTTCTAAAATACATAAGAACTGTTTTCTTTCTATGAAGTACCCCCCAAAACAATCAATGTAGATGCATCCCTGTAACTATGGCACTACACAGACAACCTCGCACAGCAGTTCATTTGACTTGTAGTCTATTCTGGCAGTAGACATTTAACCTTTTCTGTTCTTAGTCTGCTTTTTCCTTAATGACAAAATTGTTCTTAAAAATGCCTTGCCTGGGACCAGCAGGTGGTGTGGTGGTTAAGGCGCTGGATACTCCCACATGGCAGACCACGGTTCAAATCCCAGAGCTGGTGGCTTTCTTTCTCTCTCGCTTTCTCTCATTAGTCAAATTAAAACATAAATGAACGAATAAATAAAGTTGAATAAATAATTCTTAAAAAAAAAAGGCCTTGCCTTCTTTGACAGACTGTACGAAGACTGGATTGTCTCCACTGACCGTCAGCCCAAATCCATTGTCATCTTTCTGGATTATCACGCAACGCTGAACCAGACCTGCACAAGATCCACAGGGTCAGAGAGAAGGGAGAGAAAACAAAAAGGAAAAGGTAACAATCATATATTAGTAATGATGAGCACAAGGTAGAACACAGAGCCCACATACCCAAAAGGAGCACTATCCCCATAACAACACAACACGTGAGCATCGGGAAGAGGGAAGACGTTGGTTTCTCACTGTGGACAATTGTCCCAAGTTTAAAAACAGACGTGGCAAACTGGAAAGGATGACACATTAGAGACGAAACACGAGAAAAACCCACTCACATCTCTGCTATTTAGTTGTAGTATAAAATCCCCCCCAAGACCCCTATGGCTTTGGTGTTGTAATTGGTGTTTAACCCCGCAAATACAAAACTTTGGGGACATTAGGCTAGGAGCATTCCACAATAAATTCTAGGGAAATCCAATCTTTTCTCAGGAACGTATACTTCGAGAAAAAAGACATGAGGGGAAAAGAAAAAAAAAAAAGAAGTGCTTGCAGGGTACCTGCAGCTATGCTATTCACCCAAAAAGGAGAGACAACAGAAAGAGCTGAAAGGGAAGAAAACCCCTGACCCATGGGAAAAAAGAGAAAGGTGAAACAAGCAGAGAAGATAGAGGAAGAACCTGTGAGCTCAACCAAGCTTTTCATCTCTTTCACGTACTTACCTGACTCCTACGGGAGCAGCTGCTTCCCTTCTAGTTAACAGCAAATGAAAACCGTCAACGTGAGGAGAGACAAAGGCCCCCAATGGAAGGAACAGGGAGATCCCTGAGCTGAATCCTGGTTAGTACCTAGGGCTGCCTGACCATCGATCAGGTCTGAAGATCCTGAACCTGAGTTAGCCAGAGACAAACACTCAGTTTTGCAGGATCTAAACACTTCCCCCAAAACCAATATCTGAAACATGTAAAATAACACAAAGATAATGATAATGAGAGAATAAATAAAGACTTCCATACAAAGAGCCATAATCTGTCCGTATGACTGAAGTGTGAACTGCAGGTTACATGGAAGACTGTATACTAATGACAATGACACATTGTGAGTATGTGAGTCTATTGCAGATGAAAGACTGGAATTAAGTGGATCTACGTATAGAACACATGAACCTTGAACTCATACTCTACATAAAAATGAACTCTAAACAGATCATGGGCCTAAACACAAATGCTAAAACTGTTTAGAAGAGAAGAAGGTTCCACATGGCTCCAGCGAACTAGATTTTTCAGGGAATGAAGATTTTCTACTGATAATTCAGCCTCCAATAAACGAGCTAGTGGCTGAACTTGAAGAATTTGAAAGAAATACACCATCAGATGACAAGAAATCATCGCCGGATCATGAGAAATATGGGAAAACGAGAAAATATCTCTCCTCCAAGGAAAAAGAGTAACTCTTCTTCATCCACAAGCAGTTCAGTGAAAATCATGGAAATGTCTGATAAGGAATTTAGAGCATTCATAATGTCGAAGCTAACAGAGATGGAAGAGAAGAGAGATAATGAACTGCTAAAGAGAAAGGAGAAAGAAGTTGACATGTTCCAGGAGATGAGGAAATTCTTGCAAGATCTAAAAGAGGAATTACACACTTTACAAAAGACTCAAATGGAACTGCTAGAGATGAAGTCTATAATACAAGAAGTAAAAGTCTCCCTTGAAAGTATTAAAAGCGGACTAGATCATTCAGAAAATAGAATCTCAGATGTAGAAGAGAAAATGGCTGGCCTAGAAAAATCCACCACGAAGAGAAAATGGCCCAAAAAATTGAGAATAATATGCGAGAAGTACTGGATACCATCAAACGTCCAAATATCCGGATAATTGGCATTCCAGAAGGTGAAGAGACCCATAAGGGCATTGATAATCTATTCCATGAAATCCTGCAAGAAAACTTTCCAAACTTAGAGAAGCATTCGAAGATCCAGTCCCAGGAAATACAAAGGACCCCAAATAGTATCAACCCCAGAAGATCTTCTCCAAGACACATTATAGCCAGGTTGACCAAAACTGCAGACAAAGACAAGATACTAAGATTAGCAAGAGAAAAACATCAAGTTACCTACAAAGGACATCCCATCAGGCTAACAGCAGATCTCTCATCAGAAACAATAAAAGCGAGGAGAGAATGGGAAAATATATTCCAAGTGTTAAGAGAGAAGCAGTTTCAGCCAAGAATACTGTATCCGGCAAGATTATCTTTCAGGTGGGAAGAAAAGACAAGAACATTCTCAGATAAACAAAACCTGAAAGAATTTACCAGCACCAGACCAGACCTCCAAGAAGTTCTCAAGGATGTGCTGTATCAGGAAAACTAAACGCAGATACATGGAAATAAGAGTCCAAAAACTGAGAAAGTAGCTAACTTAATCATAGGGACAAGTCTGGAGTTGAATACTATATCCCAGAATTTAATCAGGAAAATTGAACCAGAACAGAAGATAAAAGTATATGAGACTGATAGGTTCATGCACCTACCATTTGAACAGAATCCTAACCTGTTTCCGGGCTTTAAGCAAAGTTCCTTGGCGGTTCTTTGATTTAAGTTAAAACTGGTTTTCTTAGTAGTAACGAGGGAACTCACCTTTGAAAGTAGTCAGGTTATGTAGGAAATTGTGTGATCAATGCAATGTGGGTGGGAAGGGAATGGAGGACAATTTTGGACACTAGAGGTGGTGTGAGAGGAGGGTGGGAAGGGACAGAGGGTCAGAAAGAGAGCTAGGTGCTACTTTATAGGATGCGTAAAGTTAGACTTGTGTTCATGGAAATGTGTGTGTCACCTGTGTTTGCTATGAGGGTATTTGGATTGATTAAGGTCTTTGGTGATTCAATAAAATGTGGGGGGAAAACAGTATAAAAAGCAAACATGGATACTAGAGACAGTGTGGGAAGAGAGTGGGAGATGGCAGAGAGTAAGAGATAGGGACTCAAGGATGGGGGGAAAAAAAGCAAAACATACAGAAAACAAGAAATGGAAGATCATTTGCTGACAGTAACATGTTTGTTGATGTGCTTGATTGAGACAATATACAGTGTACTCTGGATGGAAAATATCATTTTGCATGCTGTAATGATGTACAGTGAATGAATGCAAATAAATAAATTGAAATTAAAAAAAAAACTGTTTAGAAAGAAACACAGGAGAAAAATGTCAAGGACTCAGAGTAGGCACAGATCAAAATGCACCAAAGGATCCAAAATGCACCAAACGTGAAAGAAGGGAATGGTAAGTTGGATTCAAACATATTAACATCTGGTCTTCTAAAGATACTGATAAGAAAAGGAAAATGCAAGAAGAAAATATTAGGAAGAAAATATTTACAAATATCTGATAAAGGACTTGTATGTAGAAAAAAAATATATATATACATACACACATGTATTTTATATATACATACTAGATATACATAAATATAAAAATATTTATGTGTGTATGTGTATTTTTTTAAAGAAGGATTTTTGCTATCAGGTATGTGGGCTTGCTGGAGAGACAGAGACAGAAACTGAGAAATCACTAACTAGGGAGGATGGCCACACCACAATCCCTTCTCCTCCATTCTCCTCTTGGGATTTTGGGCATGCACGCACATGGGCCTGTCGTGAGTTTTAAGTCACTGGGTCTAAGACTCAAATAGAGGATGACTACATAGGAGCCAGTGATGTAACCATTATGCCATCCACTGGTCCCTACAATATTATTTTTCGGAAAACACACACACACACACACACACACACATACACACACACCCTACAATTCCATAATGGAAAACCAACTTTAAAGGAGACAAAAGTCTTTAATAAATACACCACAAAAAAAGATATACCAGAAACCAATAAACACATAGAAAAAGTGCTGAATATCTGCATCATCAGGAACATGGAAATTAATACAATCGAATACACTAATTAGAATTGCTAAAAATAGACTGATAATACAAACTGTTGGCAAGATGTAGAACAACTGGAACTCTCAAAACATAGCTGGTGGGAGCATATAAACATTTGGAAAAACTGTTCAGAAGTTTCTTAGAAAAGGAAAGCATATGTTTTGCTAAATTCATGTCCATATAAAGACCATTACACAAACGTCCATAGCATTTTGTTCATGAGAGCCTCAAAGTAGAAACTACTTAAATGTCCAGTTTGTTTTGAATAAACAAATTGTGGTATGTCCATAAAATGAAATACTACTTAGCAAGAAAAAGAAAAAGAACTACTCGGAAACACAACAAACATGGATGAATCACAAAAACATAATGCTAAGTGAAAGAAGTCCAGTACAAGACAGTATATAACTGTAAGATTCCAATGTAGAAAGAAAAATTAGACTACAGCAACAAAAGGCAGGATAGCTATTGCCTTAGGAGTGGAGTAGGGCAGAGGGATGGGACTGAAGGCAAAGAGAAATGAAAGAACTATCTGGGGTGATGGAAACGCTCAGTGCCTTCATTAAGATACTGGTTATAAGAATATATTCAGGGGCTGGCAGGTGGCGTGATGATTAAGGGCACTGGCTCCCACATGGCCAACCACGGTTTGAATCCTGGACCTGGCAACTTGCTTTCTTTCTCACTGTGTCACTCTCTGGTCAAATTAAAAATAAAGTCAAATAAAATAATTGTAAAAAAAAAAGTATATTCATTTCTCAAACTCACTGAACTTAAAAGGATACATCTAATTTTATTTAAGTTTTATGTCAAATTAGTTAATTAATTTTCAACATTAAAAAATATGATACCCCTCAACTCAAAAGAATACTAAATACTAAGCAGTATTTGAACCACATGGCCAACCACGGTTTGAATCCTGGACCTGGCAACTTGCTTTCTTTCTCACTGTGTCACTCTCTGGTCAAATTAAAAATAAAGTCAAATAAAATAATTGTAAAAAAAAAAGTATATTCATTTCTCAAACTCACTGAACTTAAAAAGAATACATCTAATTTTATTTAAGTTTTATGTCAAATTAGTTAATTAATTTTCAACATTAAAAAATATGATACCCCTCAACTCAAA